TTCAAATGAATGTGTAATAAGTGATAACAACTGAACAGATCATAGTAATGTTCAAACTCAAGTTACTAATACATGCCTAACTGAAAATGTTAAAAGTTTACACATAAAATACACATAATAGTCAAATTCGAGTTGTGATATTCAAATGAATGTGTAATAAGTGATAACAACTGAACAGATCATAGCAATATTCAAACTCAAGTTACTAATACATGCCTAACTGAAAATGTTAAAAGTTTACACATAAAATACATATAATACAACGTTTGCATTTAAAAATCACCTAAGTTAATAGTCCCAAAAGGTGAAGCCGGTTGTGATTGGGATTTTGAATTTGATTGCGATTTTGATTGCCTTTTTCTTGACACCATATGAGCATTGGATTTTGATGAGGATCCATATTTTGGTAGAGGAAAAAATGATTGTGATGGCACTGGTGATCCATATGTCAACCTTGTATGACCACTTTCTTTGCACCGACTACATGTCGATCTCTTCTTCTCTTCACCCTTAGACGGTATACGATCGTGACTTTTTGGTCGGCCAGGTAGCCTTCTATCCATGGCTGGTGGCAAAACTGTTTGTAAGTCATCTGGTATGTTCCACTAAGAAGGATGTGGAATAGGGTAGATAATCTCGGCATAAGTCTGTCGATGTACTTCCGTAGTGTAGCAATCCATAGCGTATGCGATTGAATCATCTTGGTTTAGATGAAGAGCAACTTTTATAACATGGCCACACGGATAACCAGATGTTTGTCATTTCATACAACTACACGTCTTTGCATTTAGATCGACAAGCCCATTTAAGTTATTATCCAGTACTTCAAACAAAGTGTTTGAACATGGTTCAACTCTCCATGATGTTGACTTCACAACACTTTCGTTGTCTTTTTTTCAGTCCATGGTGTAACACGATGTTCCAATGTTCCTGTAAATTTAAATAAATAATACTTAGTAAAATATATGATAAGTTACGAATTTAAAGAAATAATACATGCATGGTTTCTTTTCTTGTAGTACCACTGTTGAATAGAGGCTTGAAAAAACTCCATTAACATAATAATGGGTAATTTCCGGGAATGACGACTTAGAGCGTTGATTGATTCTGCACTATTAGAAGTCATGAAACCATATCTTGCTACAAGTTGATGTACTCTTGACCATCTTTCAAACCTGATATCTTCTAGTGTTTAAGCACACTGAGGCAAAACACGTCTTAAACAATTTATATGCTTATTAAAATCCACTTCCCGATAAGGTTTTACAGCATTCTAGTATGTTCATTTGTGATTTTTTTTATACCAGCAGACCTTGATTTTAGATTTCTATACAAATGAACACCATAAAGTCCATGAAAAGCATCTGGGAAACACTTTCTAACAACGTTGTCAATTGAGTTTGCCTTATCGGATTTGATTGTCAGATTGCTAATAGGACCTATGTAATCCCTAAGATGCCCCATAAACCATGTCCATGAATCAGAGGTTTCAGATTTGCTAACCCCGTAAGCTATTGGCAGTATCCCATTGTTAGCATCCATGGTTATTGCTAATAAGTTTACTCCAAGGTATCGACCTTTTAAATGTGCTCCGTCAACTATAATAATTGGGCGCATACAAGTAATAAACGAATGAATCTACAAAATCATATACACAAGAAATATAATCATTTAAATGTGAAATGCATGTAACTAACAAAAATGAGTCAACAAAATTATATTGATTTACTAACCGCAGCACCAATGGCGATAAACAGCAACTCAAAGCGTCCATCTCTATATGTTTTGATATGAGTTACCGACCCATGATTTTTCAGCTTTAAATTTAGACAATAAGCCGGCAGTTGGGAAAACGATGCTTCTGGCGACCCCCTCAATAATTTCAAGGCATAACATTTGGCTCTCCAAGCTTGAGAATATGAGATACTAATCTTGAACCGAACATTCATGTCAGTCATAATTTCATGTCCCCGATATACCCTGCCATTCAAAAACATTAACTCAGCCAGAAAACCACCCAACACCTTTTTGTTTGCCTGTCTATGGTGAGGAAAAACTTGGGTTCTTGAACATGTATGTTTATCAATAAAAGTCCTAACTTGAAACATTTCGCAATCTTTTATCCTTTTTGCAATCATATGCCACGTACAGTTTTTGTCAATCATACACTTTGTTTCGAAACGATCTTTGCTTGATTTGTTGACTTTTAGTTGATAGCCATCTTCCACACATTTCATATACAAAGATATCTTCAAGTCTTCCTTTGTATCAAAACAATCATCTTTCTTGATACGAATAATTTTTTTATAACAATCAACTGCTATCTTTACCAACTATTCTTCCGATATCTGAAGTAATTCTGGCATATTCCAGTTATACTCTCGTAGCATTTTCTTTGGGGACTTTTCTTAGGGGATTTCTTCTTATTCTTTTTCTTCTTCAGGGTTATATGAATTACAGAATGAATGTTCAACATGTTCATTCACAGTCATAACTTCCTCCTCATTATCATCAACAACATCTTCCTCGGCAGCGGCTGTTTCATCATCAAAATTCGGGTATTGACCAATATCAAAATCATTACACGCAGGGTCTGTTTCTTCTTCTGAAACATCATCAAAATCCGAGTATTGACCAAGATCAAAGTCCGGGTATTAACCAAGATCAAATTTTGAATACTGACTAGTACTCACAATTTTTTCTGTTGGCTCATCATCGTCTAACTGGTCAATACGAAAACCGGAATTTGGTGCTGAAAGTTGATTGGGATTTGGATTAGGGAAAGGTTGTGGGTTTTGAGATTGTGTTTGGTATTGGAAATGTGGTGAAACAAAATTTGCTTGGTGGTGAAACAAAATTTGCTTGGTGATGAAATTGTGGTGGAACCATTAAATTTTGAGCACCATAAACTGGGGTTGAAAAACTTAGTTGATTACTACCCGCTACTGACCCAACTTCACTACTTCTAGGTTCAACAACATATAATGTAACATCATATTGTGAAACACTAATGTAAGCAATGAATCGTTCAACATATTCATTGTCGGTTAACAAATAAACTTTACCTTTTCTCTGATAAGATAGCCTAAATCCACTTAAGGGATCTAAATTCAATTTATTTGCAACACGTAACATTAGAGTTTCATAAGTTAACTTTTTTAATGACAGTTTTAGTTGAAGATTCATGGGTAAATGCATATATTGTAAAACACCATGAACATTCTCCCATGACCCTCCAAAACACAAATATATCCAAACATGATCAACATTAGATGATTTCATTATTGTAAATTAATTTACTAAACAAACGAGAACTAAAACCTGTTGCCGGATGGGGAAGGATGTCGTTGGATATAGGAACGGATGTCGCCGGAGAGAGTGATAGATGGAGATGGAATGAGTTGCGATTTAGGGATTTAGGTTATGAGTTGTTGCTGTTGCGTAGTTATATACCCAAAACATTTGTGTTGTGAAACTAAAACCTGTTGCGAATTTGAAATTCAGTGTTGCGACAGTCAGAATCGCGTTGCGATAGTCAGAATCGAGTTGTGATTATGTATTATCGCGTTGCAATGTCCGAATCGCAACGCGAATTTGAAAAATCGCAATGCGATAGTCAAAATCGCGTTGCGAATCTGGAAACTGATTTACGATACTAGAGATCGCGTTGCGATTTAGAGATCGCATTGCAATTTTGTTAGTCATTTTGGCAAATCAAAAAAAATTAGTCAAAATCGTATATTATAAAGAATTTTCGGTCACTGAGGTTATTTTTTCTTTTTTTTTTTAATGTGAAGTGTGTTGTTGTTCGTGAGGGCCCCACGTTTTTGTTGTGTTTGATAAATGACCAAACCGAAAGCAATTTGCTTTCTTTCTGTTCTTTTATTTGTTTGCCCAGAAAAAAAAAACTACGTTTCAGTTTCTCTTATGTCGTTTTCTTTCTACTTTATCAATGAGTTCTTCTAAAAAGTATATTGTAAATTGGGCATCTTGCAATGAATTGTGAGGAAAAAAAAAACTAGCTGTGGAGTGAATTTGTTGTAATTTTCAATAGAATAGGTACTTGATTTTCCAATGAAATTTCATTGAAGAGCAATTTAAGGTTTTTTGTAAATGTTGTTATTTGTATTGATTCCACAGCCTCTGGCTTCATATAAATTCATGGCTTTGTATCATGTTTAGATCGAAACACTTTTTTTAATACTATTTTTTTTTCTGTAAAATAATTGTTTACTTACTAATATTGTTACATCAGCAGGTTCTGTTTGAGACCAAACCAGTGACAGAATAGAGCTTCCTCACTGGTATTTGGTTGCTGGTTTGCTAAGAGTTGTAAAGGGTGGGGGTATCAGTTGCTTAACTTATGGCAAACCGCGACTTGTTGATCGGGAAAAATCAAGATTTGTTGTTGCCATAGAACCAGTATGTGGAAATAGGGCGTAATGCCAACTTTGTTCATAGTCGTAATCATGATTTACTACGTACAGAGCAGATCCTTGATGTTGATTTGGAAATTAGACCAACTCATGATCATGATCATAAACTAGCAAATTCTCTGACACACACAGATGATTTAGTTCTACCACATGATAATGTTCATAATTTTTTTGAGAATGAGTTCGATATGGATCAGATTGACTACCCTGGTGCGAAGGAAGATCATGCTGGTGTTGAGAATAATGATGACCAATTCGCAGATGTTGTTGAGCATCATGAATTTGGTTTGCATGATGGTACTGAGTTGACCCTTGTGAAGAGCCAGGATCTTTCAGACAAATTATATTCGGATATGCAGCTAAATCAGGAAATGAGTATCGAAACGTTATCATACGTGTTTTCTCAACCGCTGCAATTCAATGACTGATCCAGAAATTTAAAAATTGGATCTAAAATTTTAATTTTCTTTTTTTAAAATTAATGGGTAGGCAAAAATTATAATTTTTTTCCTTTTTTTTCTTAATACATAAAGTTAAATTTAATCACTTTTTTTAAATAATAAGATGCACTTGGCTCCTATGGGGCTTAGTGCATCCGTCCCTGCGCTGCATGGGATAGTTGATGCTCCTGTGCTTCAGCAACGTATGTCAGTTGCGGTGAAGGGCCATGAATTGACTGTTGGCAAAGAGTTCCGTCATGTCCACAGCTGTAGGAGAGCCCTAAGAGACGCAGCTATTGCTCTTCACTTTGAAATGCAAACAATAAAGTCCGACAAGACTCGTTATACTGCCAAGTGTGCAAGTGAGGGGTGCCCTTGGAGAATACATGCTGCAAGACTTCCTGGTGTTCCTACTTTCACCATTAGAACTATCCATAACGAACATACTTGTGCAGGGATTACTCATCTTGGTCATCAACAAGCTTCGGTTCAGTGGGTTGCAGATGTTGTTGCAGAAAGCATCAATGAAAATCCTCATTATAAACCGAAGGAGATATTGGAAGAGATTCACCGTGTTCACGGAATTGCTTTATCATACAAACAAGCATGGAGGGGCAAGGAACGCATCATGGCCACTGTGCGTGGCAATTTCGAGGAAGATTATCACCTCCTCACGCAATATTGTGATATGATCAAAAGAACAAATACAGGAAGCATTGCGAAGGTTTATGCGGATCCTGTTGATAACTGTTTTCAATTCCTTTTCATTTCATTTCAAGCATCCATTTATGGTTTTCTGAATGCATGCCGACCAATTGTAGTGGATTTGTAGTAGATATTCGAACCCGAAGCTGTTATTGTCGTGGATGGGAGCTGAGTGGACTCCCTTGTGCTCATGCCATTGCAGCTCTCCTATCTTGTAGACAAAATATGCGCAAGTTTACAGAAAGTTGTTTCACAGTGGCAAATTACTGTAAGGCATACTCAAAGACAATACACCCTGTTCCTGATAAATCCCTTTGGAAAGAGATGCCTGAACAGTTTCGAAATGGAAATAACGATGCGGAGGTCATTATAAAACCACCCAAGTTGCTTGAGCAGCCAGTGAGACCTAAAAAGAGGAGAGCTCTTACCGGGAATGTCGATCGGGCGAAAAGGATGGTGCATTGCAGTCGGTGCAATCAAACTGGTCATTTCAGAACTACATGTACAGCACCTATATAGAAACTCATTTTTCAAGTTCTTTTAACTGTGCAAAGAGAAGATCAAATAGTTTTTTGTTTTAATTTTTTTAGAGCTGCTATTGTCAGCTCTACTTTAGGAAAGCACAGATAGATGAAGTTCATGTTTATAGGTTTACTTAGACAAGTGAATACCTTAGTTCTCTATTAAGAAGAATAGTTTTTTTTTTAAATTTTATTATTATCTCATAACTTTGGAATTGAGCGCGTAAATATGATTGATCGAATGTGTTATTATACAAATTTTAAAAATGTAACGTCAGTCTTGCCGTTATTGATTTAATGACAGACAGGTAATTTGATTGAAATTAAAATAAAAGTTTAGTGACTGACAATTTTTATTTAGGGATCAGAATAGAATCGACTTCATTGTTTAGTGACCAATAGTATAGTTTTCAATGCATGCATGCAATTGCAACAACTAGGGTGGTAATACACATCCTCCATTTCCAGTATACACGTCCCAGTGCCAAAAATAATATATTAAAGCTTCGATGGATAGTATTAAGCGAAGTTAACTACCATATTATAAATAGCAAAAGGAAGTTGAGATTATGGGAGATGAATGCATTTAGGGCGAAGCAAGAAATCATTAGATTATTACATGTGTCAGTGCTTGATCTTCACCATCTCAATGAACACATATAAAGGATTAAAATTTGCAGCTTCAACCCAGAGTAATGGCAATTTTGTTTCTCGCATCGGGGTTCTCATCAAACCCCGAAGAAAATTCTGGTTTTTGTCATTCTAAAATCATGCATAAAGGTAAATTCTCATTAAAGCTTCAAACGATTAATGCATCTATGAATTTATATATATATATATGTGTGTGAATGTATGTGTATGTATATGTAAATTTTTATTCCAGTAGTTTTTTCCTTTTGTGTTCTTCAGATCATCAACATCACAGCAGCCCACTCACTTTGACACAGATCATGATTGCCACTTCCATCGGCATCATCATTGCAGCAGCGTTGAAGTTTCATCTTCATAAGCTAAGGGATCAAAAGATCATCCCGAAGCTACGGTCGCGGGACAAAGGCGGCCGTCACATCGATAAGGTCGAACGTTTCCCTCACTACGTAGGTAAATAATTTCTTTGTATGTTTATATGAACCTCAATGGATTACTTTGTGTCCATCACATTTTCGTTCACTCGTTTCGAGTGTTTCGAGTCCCGACCCTTGATTTTGTTTCATATTTCAGCCAGGCAGATGGGATTTAATGATAGAAGAGAATGCCCTTTGCTCTGCAAGTTGGCAGCGGAATACATCAGGAAATTAGAAGGTTGTGAGGAGGATATATATACATTCTTCTCCAGCGAACTCGATGTCGATTCGCTTTTTGTTAAGCTTGTGGAGGAATTTGAGAGATGCATTCTTAGTTATTTTGCATTCCATTGGGGCCATGCAGATCTTATGATTGCCCAGGTAATGATCAAGATCAATACATATACAAATACATATGTGTTTGTCTAAATGTAAATGTGAGAACAAGTAGGAAAAATGAATTGCTTTCTTATTCATTGGTTCAGGTATTAAGTTCTGATGCTGAACCCAAGAGAAAGCTCAAGCAGATTTTCATGGCAGCAACTAGGTTGGACATTAATTATTACATTACCTATTCGTTGCTGGAAGGGGAGAATAAATCATACTTTTTCTAATATAGGGAACAGAGATTTGAGAGGGTGACAAAGAATCTGAAAGTGGCTAGAATTTTCACTACATTGGTGGAAGAAATGAAAGCGATGGGGCTTACATCGACCGACGACTCTCAATGTACGGAAGTGATGGCTCCGGTGGCTCATAGCGATAGAAGTCCGGTGCTGCTTCTCATGGGAGGTGGGATGGGAGCTGGGAAGAGCACTGTGCTTAAAGACATCCTCAAAGAGTAAGCCCTTTGCCATGTATTTCTGTCAAGTAGATGTTCATAATTTGGTTTGAAATGAAGTGGGAAATATGACCAAAAACTAAAACGTATGAGCAGACCGTTCTGGGCAGGAGCAGCAGGGAATGCAGTCGTGATCGAGGCCGATGCATTCAAAGAATCAGATGTTATCTACAGAGCCCTCAGCAAACGAGGTCATTCGGACATGGTCCATACAGCTGAATTGGTACGATCCAATATCAGCAGTAGCATTTTTTTATAATTGTTGTAATGATTTATCGGCACTATCCGAACAGGTGCACCAATCATCTACAGATGCAGCATCATCCCTTCTAGTGACGGCACTCAACGAAGGGCGGGATGTGATCATGGATGGAACATTGTCCTGGATACCATTTGTTTTGCAGACAATAACCATGGCCCGATGTGTCCATCGTCGCAGATATCGCATGGGTGCTGGTTACAAGAAAAACCCTGATGGGACCATAATCGAGAACTATTGGGAACAACTCGAAGAAGAACAAGTTCCGGAAGGAGGCAAAAGAAGGAAACCATACAGAATAGAGCTGGTTGGAGTTGTTTGTGAAGCTTATTTAGCAGTTATTAGAGGCATAAGGTATGACACACACATGGATAGAAAACTTTTTTTCGCCTTTCACCATGAGATACTAATTTTGTAAACGAATCCGATATATACAGGAGAGCTATAATGTGTAGACGAGCCGTAAGGGCGAATTCACAATTGAAATCCCACAAGAGATTTGCAAATGCATTTCCAACATATTGCCAATTGGTTGACAATGCTAGACTATATAGCACCAATGCCTTGGAAGGTCCACCTAAGGTTATTTCACTATATCACACTCGATTTTCAGTCTCAATTTTCCTTGAGCACTTAAGAATGTGGAGATATTGACTTTAACAATGAATATGAAGTTGATAGGGTGGAAAGACAAAGACAGGACATTGCTAGTCGATCCCGACGAGATCGGCTGCCTAAAGAGGATAGGCAGGCTGAACGAAAATGCGGATTCAATATACGAACTTTACAGGTATCCTAACCCGGCTTGTCAAACCGGTTCAATTTGGAAAGACATTGTACTATCACCCTCAAGATTAAACATTCAGCTGGAGCTGAAGTATACCATCCAGAAAGTGGAAATGATGTCTAATGCGGATTTGAACTCATGAATGTGTCTAAACTCGCAAATTGCAGGCTGAAGATTATGTCTGAACTCTCATACCTTTTGCGATATATGTTTTGTATGAGAAAGAATTTTTTGCCTTGGATGAAGATGTAAATTTATTGTTACTAGATTAGCCAAAGCTTTAGACTATGAAACTTTCCATTGATTGTTTCAAATAATCTGTGCTAGAATACAGTAGGTGTGGCTTATTGGAACTCTAGAAGTAATTTAAAAGTTTTTTTTTAGAGAAGACGAGCAATTAGAGCTGTAATTTGGAGATAGAACTTTCCCAGGTTCACAGTTCAGTTAATGCAGTCTAATTGAAACCTGATTTAAAGGTAGAAACTTGAAATAGAGCCAAATCCGAATTTTAGAATTTTCAACTATTTATGGTTGATTCATGGATAAAAGGTAACTGGAAATATAGAATGCGAGAATCAAGAGAATTCTCTTAATACAATCAACCGAAAATTACATCTAAAAACTGTTCCAACAATTCTCAACGAAATCAGAAACTTGTACTAATATACTATAGAAAGAAAATAAATAAGGGTTTAAAAAGAAAAATATTTGAAGATCAGAAGTCATATTTTCATGGAGTATGGACTCGATCAAACCCACTTAACTGCACTAATTTACAACACCACTCCTATTGCCTCTAATCTCATTTCTTTCCCCTCGCCGACGGGGCTCTCCTTGGAGTAGCTTTCTTCGCCGGTGACTTAACGCTCTTTGACTTTACACTCTTCGCCGGAGCTTTTTTAGGTGCGGCGGATTTCTTCGGAGCAGCCGCCTTCTTCCCTGGAGACGTCCTTGTTGAAGTTCTAGAAGCTTTGGCTGGCTTCTCCGCAGGCTTGGGCTTAGACTTGCTAGCAGCTTTTGGCTTGGCAGCTGCAGTAGTCTTTGGCTTCGCTGCAGCAGCGGCCTTTGTCTTTGTAGTAGTAGATTTAGCCTTAGCAGGAGCCTTAGGTTTAGCCGCCACCTTGGACTTTGGCTTCGACGCAGCTTTAGTCTTAGCCGGAGCTTTGGAAGCCGGTTTAGCACTCTTCATGGACTTCGCGGCAGGTTTCGATTTAGCCTTAGTGGCTGCCGGCTTTTTCTTTGCCGGAGCAGAAGAAGTTGTCTCCGCCTTCGTAGGCCTCGCCGACGGAAGCTTAAATGAACTCTTAACCTTAACCAATTTCCCTGCAGCAACGAGCTTCTTCAAATTGAAAAGCAAAAGCTTCCTGAAATTTCCAGGAAGATTCTTCTGTTTCTCTTCAATGAATTTAGTAATAGCGTACTGACTTGAACCGGTCCTCTCTTTCAAACTAACGATCGCATCTTTGATCATCTACATCAAATCAAATCAATCAAATATCAACACACAAACAGATATAAAACAACAATCAACACAAGATCAAACGAACAATAATAAAAACTTTTGAAATTGAAATCACGGAAATACCTCTTCATAAGAAGGATGAGCAGGAGGAGCTCGAGGCTTCTTTGAAGCTGGTGCTTTCTTGGATTTAGGCTCTTTGGCTTTCTTCGCCTTGCCCGATTTCGATTTGGTCTCAGCTGGCTTGTCCTCCGCCGGCTCGGCAGCGACCTCAACCACGACAGTCGTTTCTTCTTCAGTGGTCATTGCAGGAGAAAGGACACGTAATTAGGGTTTCGGAGAATGGGATTTTTTTTTGGATCTAATCTCAATGGACCTGGAATTCCGTGTTGTGATAAAAGGTAACGGAAATGAAGGGATTTAAATAGTCAGGTGTGAGAGAGACGGTATCCGTAAGATGAAATATGATTGGTCGCGACAACTAGAACGCGGATCACCATCTTTTGTAAAATTTAAATATAGACCGTTGGATAAAGCATTTATCCACGGTTGAAGACATGAAGAGTTGAAGGGAAAGGGGGAGAAATTGATGTTTTGAGTAGTTCAAGTGTGTTTTTGGTCTCAATTGATTTTAGCATAACTGGAGCTATAGTTGATGAAATTTTATGAGGTTTTTACCCTTGTGTAGGTTATTCTATCAGCTTTCTAACCATTATTTTTTTGAACATTTTGAGTGATTATTTTGGGAGATATTTGATTTTGAATCTAAATTGGTCAATATTAAAGTTTACGATTATGTTATTGTAGTTCCAAACGATTTTAAGAGAATGTTCGACACAAATTCTAGTTTTTTTCATCCCATTTGATAATAGATTAACTAAGGAATCTGATGCTTCAAAAATTTTAGACATCAGACGAGAATTTGATGTAAAAATATTGTTTGGAATGACGCCAAAGTTGAACATGTCCTATTGATGTTCATGTGTCACAACTTACATCACATGTAACCAAATCCATGGAATAAATTTGAAGTGCGGAATAAAAAAAACTTGTATGATACTCTATGAATACATTATACAAGTTAATCACGAACATCAAATGAATCAAATTATTTTTTTTCAGTCATTAATCAATGTAAAAACATGTTAAATCATGTTTATTCCATCTTGAGAACATTTGGTTTGTGTATAGTCCATTGATGTAGTTTAGCATCTTCTTCCTCGCATCCAAGCTTCCGTATAACTAAAATTTAATGATACCAAATCATCATATTCCATGATTATCAAGCTAAAATTGCATGTTAGGGGAAATTTGTTTTACTTGGTTATCATTCATTCTCTGGTTGTACCATGGCATCGTATGCCATCAAAATGGCCTAAAAGAATGCTTCATTAAGCATGAGATACACTTCCTTGAGCATGACATGTATCTCAACTAATTTATATACGATTCTTAATCCTTATATGCTCTGTATGATATGGGTTGCAACACACATTGATAGTATTAAAGAAACACACATTGAATAGTTTAGGGTGATTTTAAGATAGTATTTGGTCAAAACTTTCTTAGCCAATTGATAATACACACTCTTTAGACATAGCTGCTCGAACCTAGGTTCTCTAGAGAGAGCGATATTTCTTTGTACTACTAAGGCCACTTAATAGGTTCAGAAACACATATATTATCGATTAAAATGATTGTTATGTCGATATGATTACAAGATACATGTGCTTTTAGTACATAATTTGATTGATTTTTCCGTTTAATGTAATAAAATGATATCATACATAATTATAATGTGTATGATTATTAAAGATTAATACATGTCTAATCAGAAATTTGATATCTATAAAAAGAATTTATACTTTCAATAGTCAATGAACAGGTCCATTTCATCATAGTTTATAGAGCAATAGAAGCATCAAGCTACGATCCAATTCGGTGTCATTATTATGAGAATCTTCAATATATGAACTTGGGAGAACTAGAAATACTTATTTAAGATCAATAACTAAAGAACATGATAACCTGACATTACCAGTTTAAAATGAGTCTAAACAAGAAAATCTCGTCAGAAATTCTCCAAAAAAATTACTGTAATAGATCGGGAGTCAAAGTCGAAATGTAATTAAAACTGGAAAATTAATATCCTATTTTTCCTTTACATGGGGAAGGAATGTAACATCTTCCCACAAGTTATAATCAGTGCCATCAACCATGAAGAAACATGTATACAAATCTCTACCAATTCATAAACAAATAATCATCATGATGACTTCTAAATAAATTATCCGTTAAATGCAACAAGCATAGTCACACATAAGTTTCGGGTCAAGTCACTTTATGACAATCTCTCAATCAATGGGAGATAACTTGTTAAATCTCCGGGGATATTTTTCTGCGATCAACTCCGCCTATCAAAACTTTCGAAGGAATTCTTCCATCCATCAAGGTATTTGGAGTTTCATAACCTTGAATTTATCACAATCCTTTGACAAAACTACCTACAAGATCTACTAAGGTCAAATTTAGTGTCAGATAACTGAATTTATTTACCTAGTTTGTATATATACGAATAGCAATCATGACCATATGCTTGACACAAAATTAAGATTAATATAAAAACCTCATGCAAGAGGAAAAAGGGATCTTCAAGAGGGAACTTGATATAATACATCTTTTTTTTTCTTGATCACACTATTTTTTTTATCGATTTTCTTCAACCTCGATCATTAAAAAACAATTGATTATAACTTCCCGTTCAAATCAGAAAAAGGAAACGCTTACATCCGACAATACACCCATTATCTTCATCAACAATCTTAAATAAAATAATTAAATTACCTAAAGTTATAATGTGAGTGAAACTTACCATTCACATCTCTTGCAAAAAACATTCTTAGAAGTTGTTCAACTAGCAATCCCATAACTGCATATGATGGATCATAACCTTTGTTCTTGATAATTTTTTTATTTTTGGATAGAATTATAACTAATTTTATAATGTTTTCTTTTAAAGGGTACAATAAAAGTCCAAATATATGGGTTTAAAAAAATGTATCTGCCCCAAAATACTTGCCGAGAAGCACCCTAACGCGACCCAAGCTAGAATGAACTAATCAGCTCGTCATATGATGGACATCCTCCTAGACAGGGATGGACTTAGACGGCGGGGTAGTTAATCTCCTGAAATTTTAAAATTATTTATATTTTAAATTTTGTATATATTTTCTATTGATAATTTATTTTTGTCTCCAAAAAATTTTAAAAGTTTATTTTCTTAACATAAAATTCTGCGTCCGTGAATACTCCTAAACAACCTCTAATCTATGTATAAATACCCAAGTATCATCTCCTTCCGGATCATCTTCATTTTCATAACCTTATTCTTCTAAAATATGTTATTCTTGCCGCATTGCAATACACCCATACTGACTTAAATATTGAAGAGCATCTTAGAGCAAAAGCTCCGACGTTTTGCTTTGCAAGAAGCCTAACAGCTCCAGCTAGTTCATCCTCTATCCCAATCCTATACTAGACGAGACATCAACCATGCATCTTCACGTTTGCTATAATACTTGTTAAACTGATTAGAATTTGAAGGTTATATAGCATTTAATTTTACTCAATGGTATAAAAAACAGACCGGACCAATCGGTTCAACTAGGAGCGAACAGTTTCGAATTGAATTAAAAATGAAAATTAAAAACAACTCAAAATTAAAACAATTGAGCATACATGTAGTTTTGATGTGCGACAATTTAATTAAGGTTAATTTAAGACAGTTTCAACCTAAAATATTATCATTTCAACCTAAAAAATTATATAAATTTGTAACATTTCTCGGGATCCAAACACTGTCATAACAACGGTGCGTTTCCTATGTTTTGTTCTCATTTTTGTTTAGGCGGACGTGGATGCTGATGTTGCCGCTCCAGGGGTACCAAAGAAGAGAACGTTCAAGAAGTTCAGTTTCAGAGGTGTCGATCTCGATGCTCTCTTGGATATTTCCACTGATGAACTCGTCAACCTCTTTCCTGCTCGTGCTCGCCGAAGGTTACATCATGTTATTTTCTCTGCTTGAATTTTTTTTTCTTCAATGGCTTCTAATTTGGAAAATAGGTATTTCATTTCTGCAACTTTAGGTTTCAGAGAGGTTTGAAGAGGAAGCCAATGGCTCTGATCAAGAAATTACGCAAGACTGTGAGTATTCTATTTTCAACTATATGAGGAATTAACTGATACTTTAAAGTTTGTTGTGTTTGATTAATGTTCGGATCTGCATATGTTCTAGTTTTGATAGTAGAAACGCAAAAAGATTTTGAATTACTCTCTCCTAATGTTTTCATAGTGTTGTGGTTGGTTGTGTATTTGCTTTCATATGTTTGACTAGACATAGATAAATGGTATTGCTGATCGTCTACGGTTTCAGAATGCTTTTTAGATTCAATAGCTAGTGGTCTATTGTTCGTAGTAGTTTTTGATCTTCACTTTGTTTATATTGCTCATCCGGCAATCTGGTTTTCTGTAACTCTCTTTGGTAACGGATTACCATATAGTTCAACAGTGCAGTTGCTGTTCCCTTTTGCTTAGTTCTCTTGATCTGTGTCTCTGTACATAACATAGTTTCCTGTTTCACTAGTAACCTTGTTGGGAAGCTTATGATGTCAGGGGCTGATGGCAGTAATGACTTGGTATCATTTTTTGTAACACCACAACGTTACAAAAAATCATGATTATCTTTCTTTCTCCTTTGCCCTTATTTTAGCTAGTGTAGTGTCATATTTAGCATCTCTGTTGCATGAGATTTGTGGATGCTGTTTCAAAATTTTCCAGTGAAGTAGGTAGCCTTGATGATTCATTGGGATATTTAACTGATTTCTTGATTTGTAATACATTTCCCTTGAACTATTTTTATTTAATTCCTTGGAAATGATGATCAAAGTAATTATTGGTAGCAACATATATTGAGAATGTTATTCTGCTGTCTTGAAACAGAAACGGGAGGCTCCACCCGGTGAGAAACCTGAGCCGGTTAGGACACACCTTCGCAACATGATTATAGTTCCTGAAATGATCGGTAGTATCATTGGTGTTTATAATGGGAAGACCTTCAATCAAGTGGAAATCAAGCCAGAAATGATTTGCCACTATTTGGCTGAATTCTCAATCTCATACAAGCCAGTAAAGCACGGAAGGCCTGGTATTGGTGCCACACATTCATCCAGGTTTATTCCACTCAAGTGAATGTCTTCACTCTTAGTTTTGTTGGAATGTTGTTTTGTTATTGAAGTTTGATCGGTGTGTTTAGTGTTGTGGTTTTTCTGTTGAGTACTCAAATTTAGAAAGACTTCGTTAAGCTTTGCATTTCTTTCCAATTTCCTCTTCCCCTTCTGAACTATTTATTACCAACACTCGGTCTGTTCCCAGCTTCAAAGTGGATGAAAAAATTAAACTCCAACTTGTTGGCCCAAACATAAATTATCCCTTTTACTCTTCAGGTAGGTTTAACAATCACAAATTTATCAGTTTGAACAAAGTTAACCGTTAAGAGTCAATCTTTTGTTGTTAGTACCCAAACAAGCTCCATTAATTCCAATATTTTAGTTTTACTATACATTAATGTTCATGAAAATTTCACCGTTATCCCACAGCTTACCTATGACTATTCAAGCAAGCTTAAGATAAAAATGGTCGGGGAAAATGCCAGCCTTTTGCCAATGGAAGAGGGGGATGCAATTGAAATGTGTTGTTGAGCCATGTTTCCCCATGTTAGTTTACGAAGTTCACATGCCTTATTGCAAGGCTTATTAGAGTTTCACTTACAATCATGCATTATATATAATTGGAGGTGTTGCTAACTCAGCCTGCCAATTTCTTCTACCCTGGACCCCTGGTTATGACATAATCAGAAGTTTCCAGCCGTATGTACAAAAATGCATATCCTGTTGAATCCTTGTAGGTTCACAGAAACTAACAAATATAACGCAAAATGTGAAAAGAAGCTTAAAAAAACATGGTCCAAACTTGGTATTTGGGACAAATTTTCGACAATTTTAGTTTGGTTCCAAATACCATCAGGCGTAGGCATGCAAAGCCAGCACCAGCCCAACTCCCAACTCATTACATGTTGCAAATAAAAGAAAATGCAACCCCACAACCATATTCTCATTTAAAGAAAAATACACCATCAATAACATATAGGGCAGCACCAATGGCATCTCATTTAATTCAAAAAGTTAATCCCTTATCAAGCTTTTCATTGCCATGGAAAATGAAACAGTTATTTACAAATTAAACCCCACTTTTGGTTCAGCACTAGGCTTAATGCCTGCTGCTAAATTGATAAAAAGGCTTCCCAGTCCAACTCTCCAATGCCCCCCATAAAAGGGAGGGAAAAAACTGTTCCGATATACCCCAAGCTTGCAACGTGCAAAAATAAAATGTACATGACCGAGTTGAGCCGACCATAGTTGATTGAACATTAAGGAGTTGAAGAATTCTTTAGCAGAGTTTCCACCAAGACTAGGTCATTGTTTGTGGTATCTTTGGGTGGTTATGCTCACCTTCATATGTAACAATAAGCATTGACGGCTCTTCCAAGCACCTCTCCACATGCTTCCTTGCAGGGCAACCTCTCATACTGCTGCATTTATAATATCCCCTAGCACCAGATAAAAAGAAAAAACGCTGAATCGATATTTTACAATGGATTCCGATAACCGCACACCTCAGATTAACAAGCTTAATCAACAACTTAAACACAAAAAATTAAAGAATTTCAAGTCCCCCAATAGAAGTGATATCAGATATCACAGATGCTAAGGTCTATTTCAATCCAAAAATTCATGTATCTGTGTGCACTAAAATTTCTGACGTCATAAGCAAAACCAAAGTGGCAACACCAAAATTTGTATCAACAATGTATCGAATATCAGTATGATATATATAGAAAATGTTAATGATTACCTAGGGTGAGGAGAACCCTTGATCGGTTTCTGTCCATATTTCCTCCATGAATAATCATCGGGAGGGATATCAGCAAGCTTGTTACTGATAGCAGGCACCTTGATTGATCTCTTTACTCTATGCTTACTGCCAATTCGTGCAACCAATAAAGGCGACTAATCAATTATGAGAAACCAAGGTCAAAAGCATAATTCTGTAAAGATAAAAAATTGCAAAAAAGTAAAGGAAGATAATATAACCTCTTTTTCGAGCAATGGCATTTACCACTACTTCCACATTTGATACTCCCATCATCTCCCTTGCCTGAGCACTTCTTCTTGTGTTGAGAACCCTGATCCGAGGCTCGAGGCGCCCCAATCAAATGGAAGGCGTTCGCATTGTCCAAATTACCTACACTACCATCAATACTAAGGGAAGAGATGAAAGACCTAGTTGAGGACATGGTAGGTGTGCAGCTAGAGCTATCAAAGTTCAAGTTAATCCCACTGTTATTCTTCCTAAACAACATTTCAGCCTTAAGTTTCATTTGCTGTTGCTGTTGGAGCTGTAACCTTTGTTGCAACTGTTGTTGTTGGAGGAAATTATAGTGGCCGGATGGTGCCTGTTGGGCGAGATGAAGAGGGGTTTTGCCATTTGAACTCAGTTCCAAAGATGGGTTTCCCAAATACAGAGAACTCTTGGCATGTGAACTCACTTCTTGAAATGAGTTTTCATGGAAACCGAGTTGCAATTCCTTGGATGGATAATCTGGTGGCTTATGGTGTTGATTGTCCAAATGGATGCTCCGAGGAAAAGGGGTTTGTAATTTCATTTGCTTCCTCACTCTTGCATGTCCCAAACCTGAGTTCAAAAGAGAAACTACTCTTTTTAACCTAAAAACAGCTTCCCCAGTTTCGGCCATTAAATTCCTGTAATGAACTTGATCATGAGGCTGAGACAAAATACTTAAAACTCTATGGCAGCTCTCTACTGCTGCCTTGTTAGCTTCTTCAACGTCCTCCATATTACCACACAAAAAACTAATTCCCCAAACTCAAATTAGATCTTTTTAAAGACTAAAAAAAGACCCATCACTCAAAATTCAATTTTCAGATCACCCAGAGACCCAAACAAGGATTTCATTCCACTTTCCCGAACATATAACTGAGAGAAGGACCAAGAAATGAGTATAAGATTCAACAAGGCCATTAAAAGAAAGCTAATAAAAGGAGAGAAACCAGACAAGGATCAAAGCAGAAACAAAATCTCTCTTACCCAAAAAAAAAACAGATCTTGTTGGACTTGGTGTTGTCAAACCCTCAATTCTTCAGCACCCACGTTTTATTTTTAAAATTTTCTGAGATTGAAAGGTGTGAAAGAGAAGACTTTGTTTTAAGCCATTGAGAGAATTTTACAAACGGCCATAACACAAACAAAAGGCTACCATCATTTTTACTATATTATATTACTAAAGAAATGAATTCTAGGCAGGGAAAAAAACTCGACAAAGAAATTCAATGGAAGGAGAGATTTAAACAAGTAAAGGGGGGAGATGAAGCAATGAAACTGCCGTCTCCATCACAGATTTGAAGGTGGGACCCTAGCAAAAGTCCTTGGTTTCATTCTCTCCCTCTTTTTTATTCTTTATTTTTCCTGCCATTTCAGTTTCATTACAACTTGTTCCGGAACCAGACAAGCTTTGAGGGTTCCTTACAATTTGTCTTGCACTACCGTAAACTGCAGAGATGTTGAGAAACTGGTCAAGGGTTGGGCACCTTGAGACCTACCCTTCAATTCTCTTCTTTTTGTTCCTTTCACTTTTTACATTTTTGTTTTAGTTATTTGGCATACCATAATTACATTGAGTTTCTATTTGGAGTTGAGAGGAATTAAAATTCTAAAGTAAAAATACATATTTTAGTGACAGTTTTTTTTAATTTATATATAATATCATTCTAATTTTTTTCAAATTAGAAATGTCAAATGTTTTATTACTTAATCTGAGAAGGCATTACTTTTTTATATTATGTGAATTGCGAAAGTGGGAAGACACATTACTCAACATTTTATTTTGTTAAAGTTTCTCTTTTTCGTTTTTCATTTATTTTTCAAAATATATTTTTTCTTAGAGTGAGGTTAATACTACAAAGCAACCAAACAAATTAAAAACAAATGACGCATAGCATATTCATAGAGCACTGAGATTTCAAATCATCTTAATTAGTTTTACGTGATTATAAAATAGTATCTATTTAAAATATTTTAATTTTTTTATAATGTATATATATTCTACAGACATAATTGTTCGAACCTAAATCCTTTAAAGAAATTATCATTTTTTTTTATCACTATAATCGTTTGATGATTTTTAAATTATCTTATTTTTTGAAATTGACGAAAGCTTAATCGTTACATGTGGAACCCCGGAATGAAGTGCTACTCCTAATATTGTTATATTCGTTGTAAATGGAGGAATGCATGCCATCATAAATATCATAATCTGTTAATTGTTCATTGAAATACTTGTACTTGTCAATGCAACCTTAACATTTATAAGTGATTGATGTCACAATTAATTTTGAACTGTCATCAATTAAATTACGGTATTTCGTTTAAGAATAGTAGATTTTTTTTAAAATAATTTATAGTGATTATAAAACAGTATTTGTTTATAATATATTTTAAACATTTACAATGTATACACATCCGTATACGTAAGTATTTTAATCCAAGATTTTAGATAAAACAACGTTCCCTTCTATCATAATTGAAATGTCTGTCTAGTTCAGTTGGTAGAGCACAATACTCTTAATCTTGTGGTCGTGGGAATGAGTCCCACGGAAGGTATTTCATAATTTGGAGGTCTCCACGGAAACTGCTCTCAACCGGTGTTGGGGGTAACCTATTATCATACCTCCCCCTTACCCAATTACATATGGGGAAAAAGGGTCAGCTTACCAATTATTCCCTTTTAATTACGTTTACTCCATCTACATATAATAAATGTACACCGTTGTATTAAACGTACTCTCCATTAATCAATTTAAACGTGCCTTTAATTTTCATTTGAGGTGCTATATTTTCGAGAGGATTATAAAGTAATATATATTTAAAATATTTATTACATTTTATAAATATAATTGTTTAAGTTCGATATTATTAAGAATAACAACTCTGTTTAATTATTTGAGGTGGCTCAATACATTCTTGATGCTCTGTTTTTAAACCACAGAAACCGTGTACAAAGGCAGAACCCACAAACTGCCAGGATTGCAAAGTATATCACTCGACCTTTAAACATACTCAACTCGAATAAGAAATTATTTGATACATAAAATTTTATTTACTTAAAATTTAAATTTAAATAATTAATTTATATACTCTGAATTTAAATCTTGAATCACAAATCTTAAATTAAATAAACAATATTAAAATAAGCATGGTTGTTCAAATCTTTTAAGTGTTATTTTTATTTATTAAAAAAACCAAAATTTATCTTTCATTTTGAATAAAAACACATTCACTAATTGTAAATAAATATATTCTCTTTTTGATTGAATTGCATCACAATTTTAGGTTGTTAATAAATAATTAATAACGCCACTTAACACCGAAATAAATGAACAATAACAGATAGATTGACATGTCAAGATTCTATGTGAAACGGTACCAATTGAGAGATTCTATTTTTTTTTTAAAAATATAAAAGTAAATTATACGTTTAATACTTAAATTATTACTTTTATTTTTTTATGCTCAAATTTTATTTTTTCAAACACATACCAATACTCCTATGTTTCATTAAATCTATCTCTTATTATTTGTTTTTTTATTTTTTTCATATTTTTTTAATTTTAGCTCGCTGTTATTTAAAATTTATTATTGAAAAGAATATAAAAACCATATTTTAAAAACCTTAAAACAAATAGTTTTTAAATATATATCTTATAAAGTTTTATTGTTTAAAATATTTAAAATAATCATGGTCAAAATTAAAAACATTTAACTTTTAAAAAATCATTAAGAGACACATTTAATGAGACGGAAGGTGTATTTAGTTTAAATTTTAATTTGGTACGCCGTCATTAAAAATTAACAAAATTATTGATATAGTATTTTTTATTTTTTGTTCAATGACGATGTAACTAGGGACATAGCCAGAATTAAATATTGGCAGCGGTCGAAATACTATATTATATAAAAAATATATAAAGACTTATTATGTATTTAAACTCGAAATTCAGCATGAACCGGGCGACCTTAGTGATTAAGGGATTTTTGTTATCTTTGAGGTCTCGAGTTCAAGCACGTATGTAGGGGTATGAGCTTTCATTGTCAAATAGTTAAAAGTCTTTGTACATATGTTACCTTGTATTCACCCTAAATTAAAAAAAAAAAACTCAAAAGACAACTTCTAATTTGTATAATATTTAAATTTACAATGACTTAAATTATAATTGGACCAAAAATTTGAGAACTCAGACTTATCATTCTTTAGTTCGACCCCTACTTGATTAAATATTTAATAAATTTTTATATTTTTTAAATTTAAATATTTATTTTTACATGAACCAAAATACTATTAAACCAAAATTATATTAAATATATAAATTTTACAGGATCGGGACCCCTTTGGGCTATAAGAGAACTTCATCCTGAATCTAACATTATTTTATGATAACGTGTTAATATATTATCATTAAATTTGTAAATGTATGATACCAAAATGAAATTTATAATAATATTATGATTTGAAGGGAAAAAAATAAGTACGAAAACAGAATAAAATTAATAATTTATATAGTAAACGTATAATTTACTGAAAATACTACACCTGAATAAGGTCAAAATAATCTCTCTTTCTTTCTATCTCCCTCTAATATCTCTCGATTTTCTGTGTTTTCCCATTCTCGAAGCTTGAGCTTCGAAAATCAGCTGAGATTATCTTCAGGGCCTTTATCTCTTGTTTCTCTCCAATCAGACATTCTTTAGCGCCAACAATGTCCTCGCAATCTCCTACGACGACCGCGTTTTTCACGCGCGCCAGTATTTCGACCTTCACGCGCCGACCGTGGCGGGAGTTCATTTCCATGTCTTCCTTCGTGCGCCCCATTTCATTAGGCGACGCCACCGCCCGAATGAAGCGGAACTTCAACTACTTCCGGGTGAACTACGCTATGATAATCTTGCTAATCCTCTTCCTTAGCCTCCTATGGCACCCAGTCTCAATGATCGTCTTCTTGGTCGTCTTCGTGGCGTGGTTCTTCCTCTACTTCTTCCGCGACAATCCATTGGTCATCCTCAACCGTCCGATCGACGACCGCATCGTGCTGGCAATCCTCACCGTGTTTACGATTGTTGCCCTAGTTTTGACCGGCGTTTGGCTGAACGTGTTGGTTTCCGTTTTGGTTGGGGCTTTTATCGTGGCACTACACGCTGCGTTTAGGGGAACGGAAGATTTGTACTCCGATGAACTTGACGATTCGGAGGGTGGGCTGTTTTCGGTTGTAGGCAGCCCTACTGGAGCTGGGTATACCCGAGTTTAGAAATCAAGTTGTTAATTTTACTCTAATACATTGATTACGTTCAGTATATTTTTTTCTTCATTGGTTCTTTTAGTTTTGTATGTAAATCTTTGAAAAAAGGGTTTCAAGCCTTTGATCTAAAACTGAAGATAGATACCCGAAATTCAGTCAGAAACGGTACTTTTGTTAAGCTCAATTTGATGATAATTTTCTTCCTCTCTCTGGGTTTAGTTTAGGGTTTGGATTAATGTCTTGAAACAGTCACTGAAAGGACAATATTGATCCTTGTGGATGGACAATGCAAGGGCCAGATGAGTTGCCAATGAAAGAGGTTTTCTTCCCCCAAAGTTCTTATTTTTCACTTGATTTTGACGGCCGATAGTCGCAAATATCTCGATTATGAATCAACGTTCGATAGTCACAAATATCTCGATTATGAATCGACGTTCTATAGTCACAAAGATCTCAATTATATCATAAGAACCAAGTCTCGTTTAATACATATGCTTATGTAGAACATACATGCCGGATCAAAGTGTCCTAACTCTTATCAACAATGAAACTCCGATATATAAGGAGATAAATAAAGAGATTTATTGATTGTGGTGGGGAAAGAATGAGATAAATTACTCGTCTAGAACTTTTCGTGAATATGCCAACACCATGACGAATTCCTCTGCAGATGAACCAATGGTTGCCGGTACCCGCTGTGATGTTGCTGCTGTTTGTAGCCACAAATCGACCAAGTTATACAACTGCAATGTGGGAACTACAGGTTGTCCCATACATTTGATCTCAACCTGCAAATAAATATAACCAAAATATGTAATAAAAACCATACACCTTGTTTACCAAAGAACGCAATAGAATGGCTTGAACTACTTCGTTGCAAACTGGTTGCCCAAATTTACCTATATTTTCTTCAGTGGTTTTCAGACATTTTTTGCAGAATGAATGCGATGTAGCTAAATCAGTTTAATTTTATCAAAGAGGGTTGAAACTAAGATGAAGATCCCATGCATAAGATGGGTTGGTTATACATGCATATGGGTATTCCATATGCATGAAGTGGAAATAAAGCTAGAAGATATTTCCGAACCAGATGTCAAAATATCCATGCATAAGAATAAACATCTCTATAACATTTTAGAAACGAGCCTAATGGAAAAATAAACATTGAAAACCAAAATGGAAGCCATAATCTTTATGGTAAAATTTATTCTTTTTGTATAGTTACAGAACAATATTCAAGGAGAGATTAGTTAACTCACCTCAGCTTCATCAGTGAGGTTCAGTTTCTTCTTCAGATATTTTTTAATAAAAGAAACAGGCATATATCCATCCCTGCCACAGAATAAAAGAAGTATGATAATTACCTCCAGTAACGAAAGAAATTTTTAATCATTCTACCATTTGGGAAGTCAGAGATAAGTTCAACTCCGTGCTTTTGTAGCAACACATGATGAACAAAACATTTTTACCGAAATTGTCATGGAACACTAACAAAGAACTCTCATTAGTTTAGAATTTTTGATTTAATACATAATCATTAACCAGATAAAAAAAATGTAAACTTGCCGTACTATTCGATGTATGGAGGGAAAAAAGCATAAAAACAGGCAGGAGAAAGCACCTAATTTAATTTAACAATTTGACAGTGGGGGTTTAGCTAGTGATGACAGACCAAACCACTTGAAGGAAAAAAAGGGTCAAGTGGTCGTTCCTAAGTTTCTCTATGCATTGGGAGGATCCTTGAAGGTTATATCCTCATATCCACGTGTGAGATATAAGTGTTGGGCACGGGTACTTTAAAAAAATGAACAGTCCAAGCAACATAGAACAAAATAACAGATTATTTCTTTTATTTCCTTTTCAGCATTCATCTCATAATATAAACTGGCCATTCAGGAGATAACTATTACCTGCTCGTGATAATTTAAGTTAAGATCTAGGCAACCGTGCTCAGAAGGCATTCCAAAATGATTAAGGTTAAAGTAGGAGAATGAATGCCATAATGTCAATAAATGTTCCGCAATGCAAAGTTAACAACTTCCAAGAGAACATCTTATATAACTACAACAACAACAACAACAACAAAACCCAATTCCCATATGTATGGGGTAAGGGGGAGGTAGGGTAGTAGGCTACCCCCAACGCCAGGTTGAGAGTAACTTCCGTGGAAGACCTCCGGCAGTCAGAAAATTAAAAATTTAGATAAAATGCAATGCATGTATAAATAAATACATAAATACATAGCTAAACAGTATTCATATGCAGTCATTAAAATCATATGTGCGTCTGTAACGGGAATTAATCCCTGCATAATAATCCCTGCGAAAGAATCTCTGCATATAGACAGAAACATAAGATAAGATCCGGCTAAATTTAAAAGAGGAAACATGAAGAGAATGATACACAAAAATCAACGTTAGCAAGCCCAGTTCTAATCCTTCATAAATACCAATAACAGAAACGTATAAAAAGTATAAGTCATGGAAAATACTATAAAGACATTAAAAGAAGACAGAGATGATACACCCTATAGATGTGACCCACACTACTCGACTACCCTAGTCTTTAGCCTCCATATTTTCCTATCAGAGGTCATGTCTTCGGTAAGGGCTAAATCCCTCAAATCACATCTTATATAACTAGAGACATCTTATATAACAATCTAAAACTGAAGTACTTCCTAATCAAAGTAATATTTTACTACACCTTTACGTGCATTTTCCTGTTTATCCTAAGCTTACTAGATCTTTATATAACTATCCATTTACTGGAAATTTTTTTTCTTTATCATTTTGATAATAACATTACCGAAGACTGCCAGGATATTAGTACCATTGCCTTCACCCATATCCTTCAACTCTCAGTCCATTAACATTTGCTATATAACTTTTGAGTTATCTATTACCTCACTGACTCCAGCAGAAAATATTTATTCAGTTCCTCTATGAGATTGGTAAAGACTACATGTCCGTTCCCTTTCCATATTCCAAGTGAAAATACTTGGAGATCGTATGGTTGACAGGTCAGAATCATGGTGTTAACAAGCAACAGATAAAATTTACGATCTTCAACCAAAAGGAAGAAGAATATAGATGGCAAACAATTGTAAGACAAGGAAAAGAAATTAGAAAAAGGAATTTACTTTATCCTCAGGTAATTTGCAGAAATTTGCGGGAGGGGTGCATCTCCTTCCCTGAAAGCATTGACATCTGAATCAGTTTATGACCCAAGACAAAATAATCTTACGATAACTTTTTCTTCAATAAAGTCTGAAGGCTGAAATACACTCTTACTGGTCTTCAGAGGCAACTAACGAGAACCAAACAGGACCAATTCTTCTTTCATGCTTTGGACCAGCAGCATCTAGCACTGCCTGTGGAGAAATGCCAGAATCCCCATATCCAGAAGCCTTTTTTCGACTGATCCTGCGCAGCTTCTTAGGTGTAACAGATTCTGAAGTAGCCGGACCAGCATTTGCCTTTTCATTCTCGACTTTTGTTTTGCATTTGTCTTCTCTATGTTTGCTTTTGCATATTTGAGCTTCAATGTTGGGGACACGAGTAGGTTCTAATTTAGAATCAGAACCTTGAGAATTGGACTTGAAGGACTTGGTCCTATTAGCAACCTCCACCAAACAATTCAAAGGTTTCCAGAGGTCCAATTTCCCATCCCATGCTTCACCTCCATTCTCTGCTTCTTTATTCATGTGTTGGATATGTTCAGCAGAAGAAGTACACTGTGTAGTTCAATTTTATAACAAGACAGGTATTATCAGTTTAAGCTAAAACATCAGTACTTTCGAGTGGAATGGATGTTTGAGAACAAATATTAGGCCCCATGAGAATAAAAGTTCTAACCTAAAAGAATAGTCTTCAATTTACCTGTCTTTTATTCTGAGTGAATTTATTTAGCGTTTCAGGTGAGCTTGCACTCTCCTGGTTATCCTCCATGGAGTCTTCATCTTTTTTAACAGGCTTCTCAATCGAAAAGCTGGAATGTCGTAAAGCAGAAGTCTTTCTGGTAAAAGCTTTTGTTCTCCTTCCAGTCATGGCCGTTTGTGATAACACTTTGGGGGCATTAACAACCAATGAAGAGAGTGATCTCTCCTTTCTTCTAGTTGGCATTGTAACTGGTGGCACAACCTCAGGTGCCTTAACTTTTCTTCTTTTAAAAGGGAAGATTTTAGCCCTCACATCTTGCAAATTATGGTCTGGTCTGATTATTAAAAGAACACACAAATCTCAATACAAAATAAACTTTCCATTATGTTAATTGACCAATATGGTGCATTGTGTGTGGATTCTCAACCCAGAAAGACAAAAGGATCGATTATACAGGAAAGCCAAAAGCTACAACTATAATGTCATTTTTCCAGTTCAGCATTTTTCACCTTGAATTTTGGCACTAGGAAACGCACAATAGAATTCTAACATCTGCATAACACCGCTAGACTGTGAGTAGATATTTCCAGTTCAATATTTACTAGCCCCTCATTTGTAAGAAATTTAATGATCCTAAGACATTCAGAAGAAATCAGTAAATTTTGCTAGAACCACTTGAAACAAGTAAATAATATTTTAGAGTATTTGACAAAATTAAAACTAGGAGTACTTTAAATTAAAAAAAAAAAATTGGTCATGGAGGACTTACAGGTTGGTAGAGGAGAATAATAGGTAAATGAAGGGTACCTTAATTTCTCCAGAGGAACACAACCCAAATCGATGTGGCATATCGGACAGCATTCTAGTTCTTCCTCTTCTATCTTATCATATATGCACTTTCTGCAAACTAAACAAATTCAAAAGACAAATCTATCATAGATTTCTATTAATTGACTCAACAGACTTTATTGGCGCTTAAATAAAGACACAGGCATCAATCCTAGAAATTTTTTCAATGAAACCAAGCTCAGGAAGCAAAACAAATATGGCAATTGAAACTCTTCTTTAACTTGGAAAAAGGCTGGTTCCATTCCATTTCAAAAACTGGGAAACCATCTTAAAATTTGAATCTTATTACGGATTTACAAAATAGAAAAGGAAGGCTCCAATGTTGGAAAGGACCATTGAATTGGAAATAAAAAAAATGATAGTGGAAAGCCTTAGCTTAATGTGGAAAACAACCGAGTGCAAAAAACACGGATTCACAGTCAAATAAACAGCAGCCATGAATGAATTATATTGAAAATTAACTTTCCCGATCACCAAACTGTATTGTTAAAAGCAGACACTAGACATCAACAAAGAAAGATAAATGTTACTAGTTTATTAAACTAATCAGCACTCACTATTCTCGTATTAATTTTGCTATTGTACCATAATGCCTTAGCATCAAGAAATAAGAAACAGAGTGAAATGAAAGAAAACAGCAATAGTGCAATACCATAAGTTTATTAAGGCATGGTATATTAGTAATAGAATTAGACGAACAGGTCAACTTAGAATAGAGAGGATAAGAAGCGAAACCAGGAAAAACAAGAGCAACCCAGATCAGAAGAAAAGCAGAACGCTAAGAAATTAAGAGAAAATATAAAAATCGAAGAATTAAGAACAAATGAGCTGAAAAAGGAACAGAATTTGAAATCTGAAAGAAGGGAAGGAGAGAGACTCACATGTGTGAAGACATTCAGATATGGTGGTGGCATCTCTAAGAAGCTTATTGCAAAGAGGGCAAGTCATGCATGCTGCAATCGCTTCTCTCTTCACTTTGACGACCTGATTCGCCATCTCTCTTTCTCTTTTTCCTCCCTGGATTTCCACCTTTCTCTTTGTTTTCAATTTCAACTCAATAACCCCGTACACGTATCCTTCTCACAGCATGTCAATCAAAAACAAGCAAAGCAAATTTTACGTACATATCTTCACAAAAAACCTGCATTAGAATCGATTACAGAAATACTAACAAGAAAGAAGGATTATAAACAGAGAGAGCTCGATAACGAAGGAGAAGTAAAAGTAAAAGAGATTTGGGTGCATAAGCAAGATGGGATTAATTTTGTTTTGTTCTGAAACGAAATGAAAAGAGGGGGTTGAGATTAAATAATAGAAGAAAGGGAAAAAAACTATAATTAAGATGAGACAATGGTGATTTTTTCAAAGAAGAAGATGGAGGAATAGGGTTGTTGAGAAGATGAAGGCAACGATGATCTGAATCTAACCAAAAACAAATAGAAAGAAAAAGAAAAAAAAGTTACTCGTCGAAAGGAGCATGAACCAATAGTTTCCTTTTGTTTTTATTATTATGTATTTCCCCTTTTTATTTTTGTAATTTTTTTTTTTAAATTAAGACAAGCTCAACGAAGGCTCCCATTACAAGATTCAGACTTTTTGGGTCGGTGGTCCCTAGGAAAACGGGTAGCCCTAGGCTGCGGTTTGTTATACGACGTCGTTAATGGGTTGCAATTTTTTTATTTGTTTTTTATGATAATGATGGTTAATAAATAACATAATATTTGTTATGAAACAAGTAGAACGAAAACAATAACAAAAGGTGTGGTAGATAAAAGAGATTTTTACTTTCTTACTGCATGTTCGGGACTTACGTTTATGTTTATAAGCATAGATTTTACGCAGTAATTAATTGGAATGGAAGCTGTTCTAAATTATGTATTTATTGACTTATCTATATATGCATTATATTTTATCTTTATTTTTACTTTTCTTACTGTCGGAGGTCTCCCACGAAAACTGCTCTCAACCAGGCGTTGGAGGTAGCCTACTACCTCACCTCCCCCTAATCTCATTGTAGGAAATAGAGTTTTGTTGTTATTGTTATGGTAGATAAAAGAGAAAATTACGTATTATTATTTTATTATGAAGTATATATAATTTTTTAAAACTAAATATTTATAATTTAAGAGGCATATGTTACATAAAATTCTAATTTTTAGAGACACGCAGTTTATAATAATAAAGCGCATAAAATTTTATTTAATATAAATAAAATTTTAATTATAATGAGCATCCACAAACAATAAATATTTATAACACTCCATTCAGATGTATCATTAAAATCTTGCTAAGACAAAAATCTAAACAATCTAATGAAAAAAAATTGCTTACAAAAAAAAAATAGTACAACTAATATTTACCATGAAAAAACAGATAATATATTTAATTCTTTACAACTCAATCTTTAAATGTTGAAATAGAGAATACACTGCTGAATAGATTTTTTAAATTATCACTTGAGTTATTTTGTTGAATATTTGTATTATTATTCTTTCAAAGGTAGTGGGAAATGAAAAAAAAAATTAAGAAATATGTTTTGATTTATCTCCTTTTGTGTATTCTCCTTTTAATTGAGTTATACATTTTATATTATCTTAGTACGAGATAGTAGATATCTTATCATTTGAAAATAATTATGTATCTTTTGAATATTTTCGAACAATGGTTTTAATCGAACACATATTCAATTTGTATATGATTTCAAAAAAACAACAATTAACATTTGAAGATCTACGTGTAATTATATTGTAACACTTAGATAATACTTTTGAATTAACTAAGATATTGTGTTTATGGACTAATTAAGACATGATGCTTCCGAACAGGGGTGGAATCAAGAATTTATTAAGACGGGTTAAAGTAATTTTTTTAATAAATATATTTTTTCTTTAATTGAGGGGGACGGGATAAATTTTTTTATTTATGTTTAAAAAATATATTTTTTTCAATATTAATTAATACTTAAAAAAAATGGCGAGGGCCAAGAGGAGAAGTTCCGCTCATGCTTCTGGATCAACTAAGATATAATACTTCCTCATCATAAAAGAGAAATACCATTTTTTAAGATAAAAAATATTTTTATTCAAATTTAATAATTTTACAATAATCAGGAGACTCAATAAATATTCTTATTCAAGTTAATTATCTATGATATTTTCTTAATATATGTAAATTTATGGAGAAAAAAATTAAGTGTTCGATTTATAAGTAAAAAAATTAATTTGAAGATTCTATATCAAAATTATAATCGAAAATATTTTAAGATTTTTCTTAATTTCTATAGAAACATTATATATAAATTTATTATCAATTATATTGAAGACGAAAGCTATTTCTTTAAGTTGAAAACAAAATAAAAAAGTATTTGATTCTCAATATTTTATTATTAATAAGAAAAAAAAGGGTGAAACCAAATTTTCATGAAGAAAAAAAATTAGCTGATTCTATTCCAATATGTAATGGGGTGAGGGGAGGTAAGGTAGTAGGCTGCCGCTAACGTCAGGTTGAGAGCAGCTTCCGTGGAAGACATCCAGCAGTCAGAATTATGAATTGTCCACCGTAGGACTCGATCCCACGACCACAAGATTAAGAACCTTGCGCTCTACCAACTGAGCTGGACGGTCAAAATTTTCATGAGATAGTGGTTATATTCTACTTAACATGCAAGACATGTTGGGCAAAAAAGTAAGGAAAGAAGCACGGCATAAATGGTACGAGGCAAAGCTACTTGGGAAATGACGAAAAAGGTTCCGACCACGCTAAAAACGAGGTTAAAGCAGATGACAGTTAGAGAGCTTTGTTTGTTGCAGTGCCAGAAACCTCGTTACAGTTCTGTTGCGGTGCATAAGGCATTGCCTACATTGGTCGGTAGGTATAAGCAGAAATTATAAATGCTCCGATTGATTAAAACAAATTTTAAAACAACAATAACAACAAAGTAATAGTTGTACGTTCTTTTTTAAAAGGCTAAAGAAGATAATAACGTAAGAAAAGGCAAAATATGTTTTGGAATATTACAGCGTGAAAATTATTTACTAATTACCATTGAAACAAACAAAACAACTTAAATCCTTATTATCCATCATATAGAGAAAGCGTAATAGTGATATGCAAATGAAATATAATCCACTTGTAAGTCGAAATCAATAATAATAATAATATGAGTTTTAGCGCATTGCTAGCTGTGGACAGTGCAGCCGGAGAATGACACATTGATAGTTTGAAACAGATTTCCCGTAGCCAGGAGAAGAACGGAGCCCAGAAAACCCGAGCAGTAAGTTGACTCATAACTACAACCACGAGGAAAAGTGTAAATTCATCAATAAATGACAGCGGCACCTCCGTACGCATCACTCTCGCATTTCCCGCGATTCAAATCATTTTCTGCGAAAGTTCGAAACCCAAGATTCATATATAAATCCAGAATTCCAGATAAAAAAAAAGGAGAAAATAATTAAATAAAAGCTGGAAATGAAGATTATTGAAAAGGAAAGTCCATCTACTTCATCCGCAAAACGTGAACGAACCTCTTGAACTACTTTTTTCCCTCCACTTCGAAAGAGCGGCAAAATCACCACTAGAGACGCTATTTTATTTTTTTTATTTTCATATTTCTCAAACTACTATTCCTTGTAACTAAGGCAAGGAATCGATTTCGATTTGAACCTTTGCACTGTGTTTTTTTGGGGAGAACGATTAGTGGGGCAAACGTAAACTCAATAAGCGATTATCATATTCTACTTTCTGTTTTATTCATTCATGAAGAAGTATCGTCATTGGCAGAGGATTCTAGTCCTCTCTATTCTCTATTTCTTTGTATTCGCTCAAATCGTGTTGGTTTCGCAGAGACTTAAACCCCTCTCTTTTATTGGTAAATCTTCTTCAAATCTTTCGATATATATATATATATATATATATATATATATTTTAATTTTTGGCCTTTACTATTTGTATTTAATTTAACTGTCAGGATATTGACTATTCTTGTTTTCGCATTTATGATTCTATCACGGCAGGGCGGAAGGATTTTGTGAGGGATTTAGCCAGTATTGTACGAATCTCTCTTGCTTGGATGATTGAATCTGTTGTATACTTTTTCTTCTTTTCACTTTTTGGCCAATTTCTAATGAGTTTACTTGCTTGCTTGGTACAGAAGTATATGGCAGATGATATAAGACTAAATGCAATTGAACAAGTAGCTTCGAGGTTTATGAATCTGGTGTAGCTTGCTTTGAACGTTTTTTCTTGAAGTGGTTTTGACAGTATGCATTTCATTCTTGGTTATTTAGGAAGCTGCCAAAGGTTTCAAAGGTCCACGAGTTGTTGTCTTCGAAGAGAGAGATTTTAGTTCTGCAGTTCATCACAGCTCTGATTGGAATCCTTATTCGGATCGATCAAGGGATCCACAAGATGCTGATATACTGTTAGAAGCAAAAGGTTGGTATTACTTGGGTGCATATAGCGTCTTTCATGATTGACTTAACGTGACTCTGTTTTTCTATACTTTGTAGATTCAGAAAATTATGTTAAAGTGAAAGTCGAGCATCTGAATATGCAGAATACAATACGGATGGACTCCAGGGAAAAGGTGTGTAAGTATTTGAATTGTGAAGTATGATGAGATGCTATACATCTCAGTGTAAGTTTAGACTAAAGATGGTTGCAGTAATGTATGCTTTTTAATCTTGTGTGCGAAAGCAAATGTTGGTGTTCTAGATCGCTCAGTTCTTTTTGAATTACAAAAAGAGTTGATGATTTGATTTTCTGCACCAAAAACTGAGCTGGTATTGAAATTATAAATGTCTTGCAAATTTCACCAGACCATCTCCTTATATCAATTGTTTCACAATTCTCTTTCATGGTATTTTAATTTGCTTCCCACTAAATTTACATTGTGTATTTGTTTGATTGCACTGAAAAACTGGTGAAGCGATGGGTCATATCTACATCAAGTCATGATAGTTTATAATAAATTTGTAGCATATAGTTAACATAAACCTATTTGTTGCAGGAGCAATATAATCAAGAAATAGGTAGTCATGATCAATATTTCCAACCTCAATCACACGAGGTAACTGTAGAATGTCAAAGCACCTTTCGGTGCAATTAAGGCACCGAAAATAGGTGCATAATTTTTTATTTTTTGTATGGATAAATTACAAACTCTAGTCATTAAACTTTAGGGTATTTACAATATTAAGTCCTTAAGATTTAACTATAAATACCCTATCCCATTTAGCTTCAAAACCATCCCAAAGCATTCTAGCTTTCTTCCAATACTAGAGAGATTTTAGAGAGTTTCTTGAGAGTTATTTTCTCCTTTTTATCTAGAGAGAATTATCATTGTTTTCTCTTTGGTAGATCGAGAGAGGTTGTAATTCATATTTTCTCATAGTGAAATTCTTCTACCGTTGCCCGTGGTTTTTACCCTAAATTTTTAGGGGTTTTCCACGTAAATTTTGTGTCTCTTTTATCTTCATTTTTATTTTCTCAAAATTATCAGT